TATATATATATATATATATATAAACAAGCCACAATAACTAAAAAAATCAAAAGCATTTGTGCACATGCCTGTGATGATCAATTCTTTGAGCTGGGGTAGTTGCCCAAGTGATAGTAATGAAGTGCTTTTACAATTGCGTAGCTCCAAGTACTCTAAGTTGGAAAATGATGGATCACCTATCCAAGATGGGAATTCCAATCCGCCAAAACAATTGATTCTCAATCGTTTCAAACCTTGATGAGGTTTTAACCATCTGAGGACCTGCATTTCAATGCTTTGATTTCGCCCGTCATGGTTATCATAACACCATTCCAAGGATAAGTCATCCAATCCCTGAATCTCAGACATATTGGCCTCCTTTGCGTCATTAGCATCTGCAACATTTTGTAAATCCAAAATGGAAAGCTGGCCTCGAAGACATGACAAGTTCTTCAAGTCCTGTAGTTTTGGTCCTTTAGCATTTTCAACAATAAATTTTGACAATGTCACAAGACTTGTCAACTTGCTGATTTCTGATGGGATCTCTTTTAAAGATGATGTCCCAGCTATATCAAGATGTTGGAGATCAAGTAAATTTCCAATGGTGGTAGGCAACTTGGAAACCCTTTGGCAGTTCCTTAACAACAATGTTTGTAGGTAAAGAAGATAACCCACTGACTCAGGAAGACTTTCAATGTTTGTACAAGACAAATTAATGTATCGCACATGCTTCAAGTCTCCAATCTGATCAGAGAGCTTTGTTATTTGATAATTCTGAAGAGACAACACCCTTAAACATTTGAGATTTTTCATCAAATCTTGCAAGACTATGTTGGATAAGTAATACCAAGGCCAATACAGTGAGTGAGAATTCCTCAGCTGCAGGAATGTACGTAAATTCCTTTTTTCTTTCAGGAATTCAAATCTTTTTGACACCATAAATGTACAAGGAAATAATGACAAATGACGGGCTTTTTGAAAGCTCACATTTGATATTTTTCCATCTAATTCAAGGGTGCAACATGTTTCTCCAGCGACATGAATGGCTAAATCAGCCATGAGGTCATGCATCACAAACAATGACTCATCTCTGCTGGATCGTTGAAAAAAAGCCCTCGACAATAAATCATGAAAGTGGCAATGCCCAAGGTCTTTTGTTTGCTTCATTCTCTGTGGTTGTTGTTGCAAAAGTCCTTCGGCCATCCATAGCAAAACCAACTCACCCTCATCAAATTCATAATCTTTAGGAAATATAGAACAATAGCCAAAGCATCTCTTCAAATGAGAAGGAAGGTGGTTATAGCTCAATCTCAAAGCTGGAAGAATGTCACTGTTGTCTTCTGGCAAATCCCATATCTTACTATTCAATATGTATTCCCACTCATGAAGATGTGGCTTACCACGCAAGAGGCCACTAAGGCTTTTTATAGCCAATGGCAACCTTTTACACTTTTCAACAATTTTCTCACCTACTCCTTTGAGATTTGGGTATGCATCAAAGTTTTCTGCCCCCAGTGCATGACAAGCAAATAATGATAAACATGCATCATTCTCTAGCAATTCTAAACTGTAAACTTTATCATTTCCCGTCATCATCTTCCCAATATCTTCATCTCGAGTTGTGATGATTATTTTACTTCCAAATGCTCCTGACAAAAAAGGCTTCCGCAACTCATCCCACAAGCCATATTTTTTATTCCAAATGTCATCTAGTACAAGAAAGAACTTTTGGCCAGAGAACTTCTCCTTCAATCTGTCTTGAAGTGAAGAAAGATCTTCCAAGTCACACTTTTGCCTAGTTACTTGCTCCAAAATGGATCTTGTTATTCGTAAAACATCAAATTGCTCAGAAATACAAACCCATGCTTTTAATCCAAACATACTCTTCAATTTTTCATCATTATAAACAAGCCGAGCAAGAGTGGTCTTGCCCAATCCTCCCATTCCAACAATGGGAATAACAGAGTATGGCTCATCTTTGCTTTCATCAGTGAGCAACAACTTAAGAATAGCCTCTTTTTCATTTTCCCTACCACAGATATGATGTTCAGGTGAAGGAGTAGTGGGCAATCTTTCTGCAGCTAATTTGTGAAACTTATCTCCAGTTCTCATAGTCGAATTGATCAGGCCCAACTTCCTTATGTTGGCCTCAATATTTTGCAATCTAGCAGTTATATCCTTCACTCTGGAAGCCATCTCTCGATCTCGATCAGCCATGAACCTTGGAACCTTATTAAACAATTTGGGGTAGGTCAATTGCCGTGGCTTACTTGTGCTGGCTTGGGCTTTTGCAGTCAGCTCAGACCTCTTGGCATCAATCTCGACCTCTTCAAGCATGTCCTCCATGTCATATGCCAAATCCCTGAA